AGTCAATCAAATGAGATTTAAATAGAGAAAATGAAGGAAAATATTTGTTCATGATTTCCCAGGACCATAGTTCTTTAATCCCATTTGTAAAGATGATAGATACTTGATAGATTTTATTTATTTATTTATTTATTTTATTTATTTAATTTATAGTCAGATAAACAGACAGATATATAGACAGACTGATGATATAAAATGTTAATAAAATAAATATTATATAATATTAAATAAAACAAAATTTGTGTACTGTTTATATTTAGAAGAAATATTGATACTCATAATATTTTATAAAGATCATAAAGATTACATATTTGTAATCATAAATTATCAGCATTATGATAATATATAATATGAATGCAGATATGTAAAATATGTATTTATGTATTACATCATTTGCTCTTTTTCAGACAGAAATGAATGTTCCAGATGCAAAGACAAATTCTATCCAAACAAGAAACATGATTTTTGTATTCCCAAAAGTATTAGTTTTTTGACTTATGAAGAACCCTTAGGGGTCAGTTTAGCCTGTCTCTCACTTTCTTTTTCTTTGTCTACTGTGCTTGTCCTTGGAGCATTTATGAGGTACCATAATACTCCCATCGTCATAGCCAACAACCGGGACCTGACTTATACACTCCTTATATCCCTGCTCCTCTGCTTCCTTTCAGCACTGCTGTTCATTGGCCAACCAGAAAGATTTACCTGTCTACTCCGACAAACAACTTTTGGCATGGTCTTCTCAGTGGCTGTTTCTTCAGTCTTGGCAAAAACCATCACAGTGGTTCTGGCTTTTATGGCTACCAAACCAGGATCCAGATTGAGAAAATGGGTGGGGAAAAAAATAACTAATTCCATTGTTGTTGGCTGCTCCCTGATTCAAGCAGGCATTTGTACCCTCTGGCTGTCAATGAACCCTCCATTTGCAGATGTTGATATGATCTCAATGATTGAAGAAATTATCCTGCAATGTAATGAAGGCTCTGTGACCATGTTTTATTGTGTCCTTGGCTATATGGGTTTCCTGGTTCTTATCAGCTTCACCACAGCTTTTTTTGCCAGGAAATTACCTGACAGTTTCAATGAAGCCAAATTCATCACCTTCAGCATGTTGGTCTTTTGTAGTGTTTGGTTGACCTTTGTCCCAGCATATCTGAGCTCCAAGGGGAAATACATGGTAGCTGTGGAGATTTTTTCTATCTTAGCTTCGGGTGCTGGGCTTTTGGGTTGCATCTTTTTCCCCAAATGTTATGTTGTTGTGTTTCGGCCAGACCTGAACAACAGGGAACAACTAATAAGAAGAAAATAGTGATTAATAATCACTCTCTTTCATCCTCAGTCAAAAGTTTTTAATCTAGAGTTTTGCACTTCTAAACATAGAATATTCATGGAATATCCATCTCAGATCCTGATTTATATAACTTTTCTCCATTTCCAAACATTCTAAAATTTATCTTCTTGAGACATTATCCTGTTTTTAAGCATCTTTTCTGAAGCACATTCAGCTAGATGATATAACTATAGAAGTTTCAATCTTGGTCATTGGTCACTATAGTCTATGAGTTCTGGGTTAACTTTTGGACTGTTAACTGCTTAAGACATTTGTGACAATAGCTGACAAGGCATTCATCTCTGTGTACAAACTACCATATTTTCTTTTTTTAACAATATTTTATTAATTTTTATAATCACAAATCCTTAATGTTTTATCAGTAATATGTTGTCTGGGTTCCAATATTTAGCTTACTAATACATGTTAAACTCCTTTCTCTTTACCTTGTTTTTCTAGCCATTGATAAAATGTATCCCATATTCTAAAGTATCAAAATTTTCTTAATTTTCTTTCTCCATTGGTAATTCTTAATCTTTCCAATGTTGAGCAAATACAATTCTCACTGCAGTTAATAGATGTAACATTAAATATACACATTCTTTCCCATAATTTCCTACAATTACACCTAACAAAAATAATTCTGGCTTAAAATCTACATATTTTTTTATCATTTTCTCTAACCATATATGTATTCTTCAGTGCTTTTTTTGTTAAAAAAAAAAAAAGTGCCGGAACTCACACACGTCATACAACCCGCCTTGCCTACCCTACAAGGTTCCATCCAAAAAAGGTGCCGAAACTCCATTCTGGGGGTTCTATGAGAAAAAAAAGCCCTGGTATTCTTGACCAAAATCTTTTGCTTTCAGGCATGTCCACAAAAGATGATAATATGTGCCTGGTTTTGTCTACATTTCCAACTATTACTAGTCATATTTTTGAACATTTTTGCTAACCACACAGGTGGTAAGTGCCATCTATAGAACATTTTATATAGGTTTTCTTTGTAAGCCACCGCCTTTGTTATTTTAGAGTTTCTTTCCCAAAGGCTTTGACAATGTTCTAACTCTATGTTAGGCCCAAAGTTTTTTGCCCATATTATCATTGTTTCTTTAACTTCTCCAAATTCTTCTGTCTTTTTCAGAATTTTGAGGCTTGTCTCAAGCGACTCTTCTAATATAAAAACCAAGTCATCTGCAAATGCTTGTAGTTTGTATTTTTTATCTTTTATCTTCATTCCTTTAATTCTGAATCTTACCTAATATTTCTATTTAATACCAGTATAAATAATAATGCCTTGTGTGCATCTAGAAATATTAATGCCATCTGCTTCCCTGGGTGCATTTCATAGTATTCCAAAGTATCTAAAATCATTCTTAAATTGTTTTTTATTTGTCTCTTAGATAAAAATCCATGTCTTCTGATTGGATAAATCCCATACTACTGAGTCCTCCAGGAAAGCAAATCTCTGTCCTTCCTGGGTATAAGCGTTCCTGGTTGTATAGGTTTGTGTATATACTGCTTGAGGTTACAGCAGTGGAAAAATACAGTTCTGCAATCAATCCTCATATTTAAGCCTGTCACAGCATCCTACAATCACATGAATGCCAGTTAGGCATTTTGCAACTAGCTTGCAAAAAACAGAATTAATGGAGAACCCAGCAGTATTTTTTTTCCTTTTTTTTCCTTAGCATCTGTGTCACTTTGCTTAACAATTGAACAAGAAGTAAGAATTGAACATGGAGCATATGTCTGCTCCAATCATATGATTTTTCACTTAGTGACAAAGTTTCCTGTCCCAATTGAATCACTAAATGGGGATTACATGTATATTCAAAGGATTTAGAGAGTGAGAGACTTGTGCCTTTCTGTTAGTTTGTTTCTTGAGCTTCCTTTTTTTTGTCTTATATAAAAACAAAGTTCTATTACTTTTTCCAGCTGTTTGTCCATTAGTCCCCCTTCTCTTTCTCCCCTTGATTTCACTTGGGTTACAACTGTGATCCCAGTTAGATCAAACTTATGTCCTTCTGAGTCTTCATGGACAGACATGAGGGATAGTGGTTCATGTCTTTTGATAGCCAGGAAGTGTTCACCAGACTGCATGAATGCTTCCTGGCTATCAAAAGACATGACCCACTATCCCTCATGTCTGTCCACAAAGACTCAGAAGGACACAAGTTTGATCTAACTGGGGCCCCAGTTGTAACCCAAGTGAAATTAAGGGGAGAAAGAAAATTCCTTGAAGCCTGGTTCTCCACCAATAAGTCAATAAACAGACACATTGACATTAACCCAATCTACCAACCGCTGAAAACAAAAGAACTACTGTACTTCAACCGCAATCCTGGTTGAAGTTATTTAAAATGAACAAACAAGCACCCCACCACACAGCAACAAAAATCACAACCACTCACAAGAAACCAGACCACGTCTCAACAACAACAACCAGCCAACCAAACAACCCAAAACCAGACCATGACTCAGAGGCAACCCAACAAACAAACACCATTTTCATCACACAGACGATACTTAAACACCAAATACTATTGCCCAGCAGCAACAATCAGCCAATCAAACAGCTTGAAAGCAGACCATGACTCAGAAACATCCAGATTAATAACAGCCACACCAATTTATATCACACAAAAAGGTATTTAAAGGCCAGTGCTCTGACAGATGAGCACAATTCAAAGCACACTGAAGAAGTCCCCCCAAATGGAATAAAACATTTGCAGCCAAATCGCCAAATTTGGAGATCAAACCAACAACCCAACTATCAACCTGAGCTACTAGTATTCAAACATATCTCAACTAAAAATATCTACTTTCTTTGTGTCCATCTGTATCTCCATGAATGTTTGGAGCTCACATTTGGAAAAAAATAAGCAGTCATTTGGACTGAACAGTTTATGAATCTGTGCCTTTCATTTGTTTTAAGCAGATATTATTCATATTTATACTAAATAAATAATTTGATGCCCCCCTCATTTATGTAAAGTTTAATCTAGCCATGCTAACCTCTTTGATATTCCAAGGTTTACTCCTATTATCAGCAAGCCAGCTTCAAACACCAAATCAAAAAAAATATCTTAACCACAAACTTTGGTATCATCACTTTGTCTACAATCACCATCAAACAATAATTCAACTCTGAAAACATGATTTCTTCAGGTCTTCCCTAGAGAATTGAACTCAGACTTAATAGTTACCTTCTGATTTGTGCACCTAAATTACTGTTATTAATTCTGCTGCTTCTCAAAATCCCACTGAATTTCAGTACTCATTAGAAAGAATAATAAAAAGACAAATGTAGAATGTTCCTTCTCTCTTTCTCTTAAACTACTAATACCATTTAGAGCTGCAAAGAAAATCGGCAGGCTTGTGGATGGGTAAGGAGTACCAAGTCTGAGCTAGGATACACCAGGAATAAGACTTGGAGTCAGAATGTGCTATTTGCAGAAACGCTTTATGACTTTATTCTAGGAATAAGAAGGTTCTTTGAGATTTAGAAATGTAATAAGGGGATTCTTTGACATTTGGCCTTGTAATGGGGAGGGCAATTTTATTGGTCTTAATGCTAGTGATAAGTCCCCATGTGGTGTGCATGACTCATAGGTGCAGCATCTTTCATCCATATCTTCCATATCACAAGTACCATCATCCAGGAGACATAATGGTTGGTGGCATTTCATCTGAAGTTGGTCAAGTCTTTGAAAAAGTCACCTTTGAAGTTCATCCCCCACCAGTATTGCCTGGACAGTTTGTGTAAGGAATGTAGTTATTATTTGTTTATATTTTCCTGTCTTTTCAATTGCTAAAATAATTAATGATGACATTTCCATCAAAAAATAATAGATGATTGACTAGGTGAAATTAAGGAGATACTAAGTACAGAATTCTTTTTCTTAGGCAACATATAGTGTGGAAAAGAATAAAGTATTTAAAGCAAACTTCTCAAAACTGAGTACCTATAGGTGGCTTCCACACCTATAATTCTAGCCATTGCTACACAGCCTGGGCAATACTGTGGGGCAGAAAGCTTGGGGAATGCTGGTTTAAAGCTCTTTCACATTGTTCTACATCAGGCATGTCAAACTGCCAGCCCACGGGCCAGATGCATCACACCAAAACCACGCCTACCCCATTGCCGGCAATGGGGAAAAGTCGCGATACATTGCATGACGTCACGTGACATCGTGAGTTTGACATGCCTGTTCTACATAGATACATTACCTTGCTTTGTATCTAATCAAAACACAACTCCTTCAAACACACTGCAGAATCTTCTTTTCCAATTAACAATTCAAGAATGTCTGCAAGCCTGGTTCTGTGCCAGATGATTGTCTTTCTTTTTGAAAGGCATGTTATGTATGTGGATTCCAGACATTCCCTGTGTTTTAGGTCTGAAATTATTTGCAGTTTTCCTGCAAAAATGTATGTGATCTAACAATAAATGTAGAATTCTTTATCATATACCCCTGATACTTATTTGCATATTAATTCTGCAACCTGATAGCTGTTAGTTTTCTATATTGAAAAAATGGAATTAATTGATGGGGCTGGCCTGTTATGCTATAACTATTGATTAGAATGTAAAAGCTGGTAGAATATCATTCTGATGTGTAATGCAATTCTCATTGTAGTGGAGTTCCCAAGAATTACCAACACATCCTGGCTTTGGCATTTGCAGTAAAGGAAATCAATGAAAACCCACAAATCTTACCCAATCTCACCTTGGGCTTCCATATTTATGATAGCTATGATAATGCTGCAAGGACTTATCAGGCCACAATGCTGCTTCTATCAGCAACTGAAAGACTGGTCCCCAACTACCTATGTAACATCCAGAATAAAGTCGTAGCTGTTATTGGAGGACTGGATGCTGAAATCTCCCTTCATGTGGCAACTCTCTTGGATATCTATAAGATTCCACAGGTAGGTTGCATGCAAAGATCATTCTGCTTTTAGTGTTCCTCTTTTACAATGGAGCTTTGTTTTTTAGTGTTATGTATAGTGGCTCAGTGATTAATCCTCATGGATTAGAGCAAAATGGCATGCAAATTTTTATCGTTCAGTGATTTCTTTTTAAAAAATCGTTTTCTTAGTAATTTCATGAATTATACCATCATATTACATTACTAGTTGGTTCATTTATCTGGATGCATCATTATTCAAAAAATGCATACCTGGAATTTGTTAACCTGGGTTTAGTGCTAAGCATGTTGTGCAAACTCAGCCAGTGGATTGGAATGTGATCCAATTTAAATCAAACTCAAAACTTAATCCTTGATAAATTAAGACCCACTTTTGCTAAAGGAACCAATCTACAAGTGATTAGCGTAATCTGCAATGTTTTTCAGTGTTAAATTCCAGCAGAAATTCATCCATGCATACATCTTGTTTCCTTTAACCTAGATGAATCTAGCTTTGCATACAGAAAGGTTTTTGTCATTTTTTTGTGGGGCATATTGACATTGTAAGAGAATAACTACTTTGAAAAAAATCATTTTCAATTTCTGTAAAATTTAATTGCACAATAATAAATAATTATCTCCAACTAGGTACAAAATATCCAGAATACTGTCAAAGTAGTGGTGGACTTGACTCCCAAATTTTCTTTCATGTAACAACTAGGGGAGAATGACAGAGCTGCCAAGATTACTTTCTCTTTTCCTAATTCATAATTGCACGTGTTTAATCTTCAAACAATTATATTTAACTAAGCTTTACACTGCTGCTCTTACAGCAGAAAACCATTTTCTAAATTCTTATTGCCATCCCTAAATTGGGAAGTGCCCCTCCCGTGACAAATTTTCATCCTTTCAAATGCATTGTGATTGGTTATGTGGCTAGACATTTCTTCATAAAGTAACATTTTGCATTTTTATATAGCAAAAGATGTTTCAAAAAAAACAAAATGTATTGAAGTCTGCTGATATAAATACTCTGTGACTCTCCCTGAAGTAATTCTTTTGTTTAACCTACAACCATAAAAATTTAAATTTTAAATTAATGTGCAAATTGTATTGTCCATTTGTGTATATAGGCAAAACTACTAGGTATAACCATGCATGTAGACAAACAAGGATTATATCTACTCATTCAATATTTTGAAAATATGAAATAGCAATTACCCATCACCTATGAATCTGCTGCTTGATTTTAGATTAATTCATGCAAGTAATTCCCCAGAGATGGAGCATCATTGAAATGTAATTCAACAAATTTCCAACACCTTCCAGACTGTTATGCCTTCCAGAACTAGAAATTCCAGGAATAAAAATTAAGGGAATTCTCATCTCAGTGAGGCAGGCAAGGATGTTTTAAAAGGCTGTTCATTTAATACCCATTCATTTAATACCCGTTCATTTAATACCCGTTCATTTAATACCTGTTCATTTAATGACTGTTCAAGTTACAATGGCTTTTAAAAAATGATTTGCAACCGGTACTCTAACATATGATCATCACACCACCCTTACGGCCAAGTGATTTCAATTTGGGCACTTGGCAACTGGCTCACATTTACAATCATTTACAGCATCCTGTGGTTACATGCTCACAATTTGCAACCTTTTTTTTTGCCAATTTCTATTTTTATAAAACAGTTTAAAAAACCTATTGGGAAGCTGAATTCACCTAATAACTTTGAAGATTTGCTTAACAACTCAAGCAAAAAATATTGTAAAATCAAGGTCAACAAAACCTATGATTAAAATGATTTACAATGGAAATTCCAGTCTTAATTGAGGCTACCTATAGGATTATTTTTTAAAAAATACATTTACTGCTGTGAAAATGTTATCTAGATGTTTCTCTTTATGTTCTTTTTCTATTTTTCTCTAGCTCACTTATGGCTCTACTCCAGTAATGAATGACAAAACCCCAGGTCTTTCCTTTTATCAGATGGTTCCCACAGAAGAACTTCAGCATAACGGGATTGTCTCTCTGCTCCTGCATTTTAACTGGACATGGATTGGAATCCTTATTATGGATAATGATCAGGGAGAAAAATTTGTAGAAACAGTGATTCCTCTTTTTTCCAAAAATGGGGTTTGTGTTTCTTTCGTTCAACGATTTCGCAAACTAACTGATTTCACTAAACTTGATGGCATGCTTCAACAGGGGGCAAAAATCTATGATCATGTCATGGGTAGTAAAGTTAATACACTGGTGTTCAATGGAGAATCCTTTGCTATGGGTTATTTGTTATGGCTGCAGTATATTCCAAACATAGAAGAGGTGAGAAGTAAACCAAAAGGCATTGTTTGGATAATGACAGCACAGATGGAGTTCAGTTTAATCCCTTTTCAACGAACTTGGGCTATCAAAATAATCGATGGTGCCCTTTCCTTCACAGTGCATACTACTGCTCTACCAAAGTTCAGATTATTTGCTGAGAAACAAAATCCCTTCAGTGCAAAGAAAGATGGATTTATCAAACAGTTCTGGCAAGAAGCCTTTGACTGTGTATTCCCAAATGTTGTTATGAGCGATGTGGATGAGAACATTTGCAATAGTAAAGAGAAATTGGGGGATCTTCCTGGACCCTTTTTTGAAATAGACATGACTGGCCACAGCTACAGCATCCACAATGCTATTCATGCCGTAGCTCATGCTTTACATGCTCTATCCTCCTCAAGAAATACTGCAAGATCAATTTTGGATAGAATAGGAAGGAAGCTTCATAGAGAGGATTTCTGCAAGGTAACAGCCTTGTTAGTAAAAACACTATGAAAGTTTGATAGGAACCATGAATTTGTATTTTGACTATCTTCCCATGTCCTAGAATGGAAAAAAAATCATGCTTCAGTCAGAAAGTTGTGCTTCTTTAATTATTGATAATCTATATCTTATTATTATGTTACTATTATCCATTGATTTTTGCTGGGCCTCTTCCTATGTTAGTTAACTCATAGCTTTCAAAAGCTTATTTTCCTCACATGGGAATTTATCTGTTTCTCTATGTCTTTATGATTGCCTGGCTCTAGAAGTTAGAATATCTCTAAGTTGGTAAACAAGTTTTTATATAAAGCAAGCTATTGGAGGTAAAATAGGGGAACATTAGTTCTATACCATTTGTCCCCCAAAATAACCAGGATTCTCCTATTGGTCCTTTTAATTTCTACCTTTGACTCCATCTTCCCTTTAATTACAACACTGTGAGAAAAATATGCCTAGAATGCAACAAAATATCTACTTTTCTATTCTGAAAATTATCAGCAAGGAGATTGGAAGTTTAGTCTTTCAACCAGTTGCATTTTTCTTTTCAATTTAGCTCCACTACTTTCTGAGAAATGTTGCTTTTAACAATGGTGCTGGGGAACAGGTATCCTTTGATCAGAATAGGATTCTAGCAGCTGGATTTGATATTCTCAACTTGATTGCTTTCCCAAACAATTCATTTTTTCGTGTGAAAGTTGGAAATGTGGACCATTCAGCTCCCCCAGATAAAATATTAACCATCAATGATGAGATGATTACATGGCACAGCTGGTTTAACCAGGTAGGATTTAATTATTGATTTTGGATCAACATGGGGCATCAATATAATAATAATAATAATAATAATAATAATAATAATAATAATAATAATAATAATAATAATAATAATAATAATAATAACAACAACCATTGGCATTGACAAATTCGCCATTAGTCAATTGCAAAAGGCGGCCTTACTAGGAACTGCTTCCATCCTGCGACGATATCTGTAATAACATCAAACATCCACATCTGCCTATCTCAGATCCTTGGTAAGGACTCAATAGGTAGACAAAATGCCAAATCCAGTCTGAACAGCTGGCTGACTGTGTGATGATCCATAATAATAATAATAATAATAATAATAATAATAATAATAATAATAATAATAATAATACCCCAGAGAGGCACTACTTTGATGTGGTTGTGAGGTTTGTGTACTCTGAGGAAGATGAGAGTTATGCCAGAGGTTCAAGCATACTGGACAGGTCTCATCAGAGGACTTAGACAAAAAGTGTCTCTCCCATAAAAAAAATATGGTGAGACATAAATTTCAGAAAGCCATACCAGCTCAGATATTGGTCAGGTTAACAAGGTCCACGCTAGATATGGTAGTTCCTGGATATCTGGTGAAAAATGGGCTACAGGACTCAGGTCTGTTGGCTGAGCAACCAGGGCCAGCAGCTGCAGAACTACTGGAAGAAAAGGTGTTTACCCATCACAAATACACAGTGATTGAAAACAAAGAAATAATGATCTGTTATTACAGATCAAGTCCAACAACAAGAGGATATCTGAAATGAATGCACCAGTTCTGGAAAGAACAACATCTAGAATCAGAAATAACAGAACAGAGACTAGCGGATCAATGTCAATTTATAATATGAAATAAAGTATTCACGGAAGCAGAATTGGACAAAGTGCAAAGGTTTACCCAGGGCAAAGAAATTAATGCCTTGCCAGAAGTAACTCAGAATGTAGAGGCAAACCAGGGGGAGTTGGCAGTGAAGGAATCCAGCAGAGATATACAACTATTTTCATTTGGAAACCAGGCATCTCTTCCTCAGGAAGAACAAAACCCTCTAACTAAAGAAATAAAAGAATTGAAACAAAGAATAACTGAGCATCTAGAACAGCACAAAATCAACAGAATAAGGCTGCCTGCATTGAAGCTTGTTCCAAAGAAACAGCTAGCAGAAGCATTAAAAGATGCAAATACTGCAATATCAAGTATAAGTATCAATTCATTGCAAGAAACAAACCAACTAATGTACAGCACAGCTGCAGTTATAACTAAATACCTGGGATGCAAAACTGAAAGAATCAAGATGCCCCATGAAAATAATATTAAGAAACATAATGATGAAAAAGGATTAGTAAACTATACAATGAAGAAGGTGACATTGTATATCAGAATGAAGGGAAGAAAATTGTGGCCTATGAGTTCTATAAGAAATTATACGAAGATGAAGAATGGAAAAATAAAGATAATATGCTAAAATATTTGCAAATAGCTGAATTACCGAAAGTTCCAGAAGAGAGCAAAAACATGTTGAATAAAGAGATAACAACTCTAGAATTATCAGATGCAATTAAGAAACAAAAAAACAACAAAGCCCCAGGTCCTGATGGTTTACCAGCAGAAATATATAAAATTTTTCAAGAATCTTTAAGTCCAATACTAATAGAACTATTCAATGAGGTCCTAAAAAATACCAGCCTCATGGGAAGAAGCAAATCATTACATTGATTCCAAAGGAAAACTCAGACTCGGCGTTTATTAAAAATTATAGACCTATCTCATTATTAAATTTTTATGGCCATAATGGCTGAGAGACTCGAAAGATTCTTAGTAGAATTTATACATACAGACCAAAATGGCTTCTTGCCAAAAAGATATATAAGAAATAATGTTAGGATTGTATTAGATGTATTGGAATACTATGAGGTTCATAATGAAAAACAAATGGGACTAATTTTTCTTGATGTGCAAAAAGCATTTGATAATGTTAAATGAGACTTTATGCTTAACCAACTGGTGTATACGGACTTTGGGGAGAATTTTATAAATATGTTTAAAGCAATCTATTCCAAACAGGCAGCCAAAGTAATAATCAATGGAGAAACAACTGAAGTTTCCAAATTCAAAAGGCACAAGGCAAGGTTGTCCACTATCTCCGTTACTGTTTGTACTGTCCCTGGAGGTATTAACTAGAACAATTCGGAAAGACGAGCAAATCAAAGGATTGGAGATTAAGAGAGAAATATTTAAAATGCAAGCCTTTGCAGATGACCTGATCTTTATAATTGAAGAGCCCCTACAATCAGGGACAAGGCTAATGGAAGTACTGGGTGAATATGGTGAAATAGCAGGCCTAAAGATAAACAAAGAAAAAACTAAAATGCTTGTTAAGAATATGACTAGAGCACAGAAAAATGAATTAGTTGATAGATTAGGCATCCAGACTACAAAGAAAATAAGATATTTAGGGATACAATTAATAGCTAGATGTACCACACTTAAAGGAGACAATTATGACAAATTAATGGAGCAGATTAAAATTGATCTGGATAGGTGGACAAACTTACAGCTTTCTTTTATGGGAAAAATTGCTGTAATTAAAATGAACATGCTACCCAAAATACTATTTTTGTTTCAATGCATACGATCAAATTAGATAAGGAATTT